CCAGGATTACAAGGCCAGCGTTCTAACCGCTAGACCACCGTGGCTATTATGCTAGTAAAATATAATATATTTTTACGTATTCAGTATTTTTGTTTGAAGCAAGGCGAAACGGTGAGGGAAGTAGTGGTGGTGAATGTTTTACCATAAAACTTAGGTAAAAAATTAAAACGCTAAAAATTCTTTAAACACCCGCCGTGAAGACGTGTGGAGCAGTGGACACTCCATTATTTGAGGTCAGCACTAGACACCCTGCTTTCTGAACGTTTAGGAGAGGGCTGTAGATTCTCATTGGTTGCACTAGGAGTGAGGATTAATGGCGACTGACAACTTCCAGGAATACGTCATTACATCGCATGTGTAGCTGCTTGAAGCTGGTTATGCCAAACGTCATTGGTATCTTTTTTACGGTTAACCGTACGTAACTGCGCAGTGTGGTTTGACTTTCAAGAAGAAATATTTCAGTTCTATCACCAAATCTGTAAGTACATTTAATTTATCTTAGTTACTAAATTTCTTAGTACAGTATAATACAGCAATCTTAAGAGTGTGTTTACCAATTCATTCCAGAGCTTTCTGAGTATTTTGATACTTAGATCCTAGGTACAGAATAATATAATTGCGAAATTATTTTTAATTTTATGAGCCATTTTATTAATTATTTTTATTCTCAATACAGGCTGTTTGAAAGAGACGCCAGTTACTATTGTTTATACCTCTAATGATAATTTAGGAATACTAGCTAATCAAACAGCATTTGGCAAGGATGAGAAGCCAATTTGTGTTCAAGTGCTCCACATGGTAAAATCTAATAGCACGGTAAACATTTAGTTCTTAATATTGATGCGAAGATGTTAGTAGGATATCCACATTAAATGATTCTTGGTTATGGAAATGTGTTCCTTCAGTTCAGCGAGCGTTTCAAGCAGTGATGGAATGTAAACACTTTCCTTAACACAGCCCCACATAAAGGAGTCTAAATAGAAAGGGCATGTTGCTTCAAAACCTTGATAATCGTTTAACAAGGCCGACCACACAGCGTCATGAAAAACAAAGCCGAGATCGGCAAGTCTAAATGGACTTTGTTCATTATTTAGGAAATTAGAAGAATTAATATCAATTGTATGAATTTCTGAACCATTTCAAGAAGTAGACCTATGTAGCTGGGATTGCTTGAATTTTTTTAATTTCGGTTTTCAAATGTTTCATCTGTGTTACGTGGTAGATTGCCGATGCAAAATACAGAACGCAAAAGAGATCATTATATTTTGAAAGAAATATTGTTAATGATTGATAATAGATCAAATATGTTTACTTAGCTTTGTATCTGTGACATATCAGGAATACATAAATGTACAAGAGTTAAATTGGATTTTATGTGCCAATGTAGGAAGCAAAATTTTATACAGCCATACAGGTATCCTTTTGTGGCACTCTGTTGATTACAGCATATAAATATGGTACACATAGCGACAATAATATTTTTTACAAATTAACTGTGTCGTCGTTACGTTATAAGCAAAGAAAATAACATTGGAAACATGCTTTAAGTTGACGTGTTTATCATAAAGCTTTAGACGAACAGTTTTAAATGCTTAGTTATTTTAAATGTCAGTAGAGATAGAGACGTAATGAACATTTGGCCTTAAAATACTATGACTATCATAATCGACTTATGTTAAAAAACAGCAACGAAACACAAAATAAAAACTTATGTTAAAAAACAGCAACGAAACACTGACCAGGTACAAAATAAAAGTATCATGATGGAAAGTTCATTCTTTGCGTGCAATTTAATTTATTTTGGTGTTGAAACGGAGCACTCATTAAGAATTTCTTCGGTGGGCGAATATTTTTTTGCATAAAACTAATTGTAACAGACACTTCATATTTATGACACATGGAACTTAGTAACTCCTTATTGTGTATTGCGGTATGCGCTATCTTTTTTATTAAATTAAATTATGAAATTATGTTTCTAAAAGGACTTCGATCCTATAGCAAATCCGTGAACTGAGCAGAGATCATACCAACTGCTGATACTGATTCGTCTCGTAACAGATATATACGCACTAAATATGAACATAATACATTCATATAAATTGTATATATTAATTTGTTTGATGAATGCAGGAATTTTAATTATGACTCGAGTTGGTTATACAGAAAACACATGCATACAGCTAGACATTCATGCGTATATAGGTTACGTACATTAATACGCACCTCTAAAATGTACTGATTAGCTTGTTTCAAATAGATTTATAAGTGTTGAGTCAAGATTGTTATACTTGGTTATATGCGTATAGTCAGCTAAAATCATTATATCAACCGCGGTATAGAATCATTCTTCATATGGCGAAGCAACCTCGTGGTTATGAATTCATATTTTATATTACGACTATTCAATAAATATAAAACATGTAAGTAACTCTATTATTCAGAGAATCTTAGCTTTGTTTTGGAGAAAACACTGTGGATTTACTGTATGTAGTGCACCGTCGTCAGATCGAGGCACAGGGCTGTCATGTTAGAGGAACTGCTATCAGACGTGGTTCCAAACTGCACCAACACAACTTCGTATGTTACAATAGTCCCAGCTAGCTGGAAAGCACAAGTATTTGTCATTATTGTTTTGCATTGATACTTAGAACCTACAGTAATGACTTCCCAACGTATCATTCGTTGGATTATGAGTTAGAAACCAAGCGTGCTTTGCAAAAAGTTGTTCATTACTCACAGTGAGCAGGACAGTTCTTGTAACTGGGAAAAAGTTTAATCCGGTAAGAGCTACATTATCAGTAGCAACTTGAATTAGAAATCTGTGAACCTGCAAAGAATATCATGTAAAAGTGGACAGACGTCTTTATGTCACTGGTTTCCATATTAACATTTTATGCAAGATTTTCGGCGGCGAGTATGAAGATGGATGTCTTCTGGGTTGTGCGACCGTGTAGTATGCTAGAAGTTTACTGGGCGTCTCAGAGGTGCTTGCTGCCTTCATATTCGAATTGATTATGGAGGCAGCAATTACCTCCGATACGTCGGTAAACTTCCATCAGACAATATCGTGGAAGATTCCTGAAGACACTTAATCTTCACACTCGCTGCCTTTGTCTCAGATTGGTAACAGAGACCCTGAAATGTGTGGAATATCTTACCTCCACTTGATAGCTGTGAGCAGGAACTGCGTAGAGAACTTCTTTAGCAACTCGACTTTCGTCATAAATACTGGCTGCGTACAGAGCCATGGCGATGGTCCTTAGCAACAGGTAACCGAAGGACACGTAAAAATACACTATTTGTATTGTGTTAAGGGAACGGCTGAAAAAGAGAATCATTCATATATTGAAGCTACATATTCACATTTGTTCAGGAACTTGTTAGTAGTTCTTTCTGAAGTAAGTTGTCTTGTACTGTGACAAGCGATGGTCAACGAGCCTTTTTCAGTTGCCAACCTTGTCGTTACCTCTCTAAAACCATGATTTTACCACCTGTTCATCTAACGTTGCTGGGTTGTAGCGCCGTTTTGTCCGGTAGAAGTTTACCGATGTTTGCTGGCTCCATCATCAGGGCGGTGTTCAGAGAATAATTTAGAATGTTTTTTTATGACTGTTCGTTACTAACAGACGAGGTTGCAACTAGTACATCAGTTATTCATGAACTAATGTTACGCGACACGAAGAAAGTCTTCCGCCACTAAAAGTAGCTCGAAATTAGGACGGTTGTGGGACCTCAAAAGTCTTTGTTAGTGAAAAATCTGAGCATAATTAAAATTAATATGAAACAGTCGCTCCTAAAATGATAACGATTGGCGTGGTTTTATAACAATCTCTTTTATTTACCTTTCACCGACTACGGAATCTGATAAAAATGAATGTAAACGTGCCTGCAGTGTTAATATGGAGAGATTCGACTAAATTTTGTGTCGGTAAATACATTTAAATTATTCAACTTTGGTATAATACTTAGATTTATTAGAACATCTTTCTAAAATCATTCCAGTTATTCCACATTAAATGCCTTCAAACTGTTAAGAAAATTCTGCACATGATTGCTACATCTATCCTATGGAGCTTTGCAGAAGTTGTGTAAAATTTACAGAAGATTGGCATTTCAGTGTGAATGCAAGCCTAAAGATTGATGATTGGGAGGCGAGTGTAGTGTGCTCTGGGAAGTTATTGAATGTAACACGTGTTGAGAGTAAGAATTAGATCGGTCAGAATATCTGGGACAACAGATTTAACGAAAATCCGTCTGAAACAAACGCCAGTTATGGAAAGTGTAAGATTGGAAGTGATATGAGACAAAACCGAAATTCTTTCCTTCTAGCAGCCAGGAAACTTGAGGAGCGTTGGACTTATTACGTCTAGAAGCAGGTAGATTAGATGGAAATAATCTGTGCACTCACACATATTTCATGATTATTTTGTCATACCTCCAAACAATATTATCTTTAACGATTAATCGAAATCAGAATCAGTCTATATTCAGTGTGTTCTTAAGGTGACATATTTCAAACACTTCTTTAAAATTCGCTCACTTTATGCTGTTGAGGAGTTGTTGACAGATGAAGAAAAGGTTTGTTGCGAAGCAGAGCAGGACAATGCTAGAGACACAGGAGTCAACAGATGACGTCAAGTGCGATAAGGCATTATAGTCCTCTCGTGCTGATCTCCAGAAACATTCTGGCATTACCTGTAATTATAAGGATTGTATATCGGTTTTGAAACGGCCTTTTCCAGTAGTTAAATATAACTCCACTAAAATGCATCTATCTTTATCTCTCTGCAACACAAAATACTGTAATTAGATCTAAAAATACACACATACCAAGGAAGAAATAACGTTGCTTTTTAATGCCCAGGTTAGTACTGATCTAATTTTTGTAACGGACCGCAGCCAAATGTTATTGACGCAAGAAGGCGGTAACGCTAAAGATCTTACGCCTTACAGTCAGAGTACACTTTGACTAAAATTTTTATTTCTGCATTTTTGTGGTGTCTCGCGATTGACCTTAGAGCTCGTTTCCATCAGAGAAGTCATACAGCGTCTCTGAATTAGCTTAAAATCATTTGTAAGACAGAAATGACCAAGAATGTAATTTATATAAGAAGAAGAAGGCAACGAAAGATACAAATATGAAAAAGTGTTTTATCTAAAACCACCCTTCGTTCCAGTAGAAGAGGGTGGTTACATTACATTCCAAAAGGCCTGGGATTGAACAAGAAAATAATTTTCAGATGAACTTTCAACAAAAGACGTGTAGCCTACATGAACTATTCACACAACTAAAAACAGCTGGGTTGTCATCTGATAGACACTCACTGACTTTTCTGAGGAACTTAACTGCTTTCATCACTGATTTGAAAGACATATAAAGACCTACGAACTTCCTGATAAGAACAGTTAGAAGAGTAATTTCGAAACCTGTGAGCTCACTACATATTACAGTTAGTTCAGCACTAGAAAATTGACCTGTCATACGTTTCTTGACTTATTTTATAAGCTATCTTAAGTGGTAATGTATTAAGAAATCTGAAAATGAATTATTACTTATCTTCCTTTGATCAGTCTCACAAGACAGTTGAGCAGCTGAGTCTGTGGACAACTGAGTAAGCGATTTATCACTTATTATTCCTTTAACCTGTTTAAGATGGTAGCTGAGTGTAAGTAACCTATTAAAGTATGCGAGCTGACGAATTACCACTTACCTTTTCGTCTGATCTGCGTCAGATAGTAGTTTATTAGTCGGTACATATTAAAAAAGAGCAAATGAAATATGACTTTCTGTTCCTTTGCCCTGTTTGAGATGATAGTTGAGTAGCCTAAAAATATCACCATTTGATTAGGTGAATTACCTACCTTTCCCCTGACTTCTTTCAGATGGTAGTTGAGTAGGCGAAATCTGCTCGCCAGTGCAATGCTGACCAGCATTATGAACATGTCAGCGTAGCTCCAGTAAAATGATGAAATTACGCTGACGATCGAAGTGAATAAAGCCATGAAAGTTGTGTACCCGATTACCCCAAATACGTGTCTGTGCGTCACCATAATATAACGTCGCACCAGGTCGAAAGTTCCAGTAGAGCACTGCGAAGCGATGTACATTCTGTTTGCATTTGATAACACGTATTCGACTGGAAATAAGAAAAATAAGTAGCAATATGCTCTCAACATTGTTATTTATAACTATATTGTTATGACAGTTCACTGTTCACTGAGAACACTAATAATCCCATTCATCTTACCAATTCGAGAAAGTTGCTGACATTTGTGGAATATAAATTTATAAATAGGTTAAACACACTTCCTGCATCTTATGCTGATTGCTAGTAATTATACAAAATAAATGTAATGAATTTGAGCTTTATATTTCACTTTCAATGTGTGATAAAATAATTATGGCAGTTCAGTAAAATTTTAGCTTTCCACGGCCGTGAAAAATTGGATTTTGGTGTTCTATCCTGAGCATGGTGGCAGTAGGTTTCTTTGTAAAATCTGTAACTATGTATATGACAACCCAGAATACCACAATCTAAATAAACATTATGAAACTTAAATATTTTATTACCACTTATGAGTACAGGTCACACCGAAGTTCTGTGACGATTAAATTTAAGAAAAAACTTGGTACAAGTCAGGACATTTTATAAACTGCGTCAGAGTAGTCAGAATAACATCCTAAAATCATCGATTTAATTCAGAAAAAGTAAGTAAAACTGCAACACACACACACTAAGTATCAACACGTATTCATCTCGACATATAGTTGTCCCTCACAAAAAATTTTGTCATATGATTTCCCAACAGAGTTTAAGTAACAAGACAGACAAAATCACATCAACAAACGCGCTCTACTTGCCCTGAGACTCGCTCACGTGATCAAGAAATTACCCTCCTTTATGGAGCCCGATGATTTATTACCTCGCCGGCTGTTTAACCTTTTCCCTCTTGCACGTGGAAAACTCGTCAACATGTTTTTAATGCCAGAACTAAGGGTTATTGGCCCGCACATATTTTACACCACCGTGGTTCAACTGGCAGCCCGCTGGCCAGATCCGGCCCGCGACCACTTGTAATCTGGCCCGCGAAAGTTAGTACAAACCCATTTTTTTCGAAGTTGATGTTCCATCACTGGTAAAAGAACATTCTACTCAGTGTTCTCACCAAAGCCATTGACAAATTGTTCTTGTATCAGATACAAGCTGTTAAAGTAGCGGAGTACTAATAATTTGTGTAAGTTTTCCAGCTAAAAATTGTGAGAGATACAAGCTTTTGCAGGAGCAAATTTAAAATAATATACAATTCTGGAGTAGTTTGTGTACGTTTAAATAAAATTTGTGTTTCAGCGTATGCAATGGTAATATGTCATTTCTGAATAAGTATTAGAAAAGATAACGACAATGCTAAAATAGCGACAGGAGGGGTTTCTTGGCCCTTGGATCCAACAGGAAAACTTTTCTGGCCCAAGCGAGGAAAGAAGTTGGACCACCCTGCTTTAAACCATCATAAAGCTTAATAATTTATGATTTTATAGGTCCTGTATACACAACAGTTTATTAAACATAAATCGATTGCAGTGGGCTATAAGATCCATTAAACACTACGCCATGACCTGTGACCTAGTGAAAGTTTTCCTTGACATATTCTGAAACTTTACATATTTATGGCAATAATTGTTCAGCTGTCGCTGCTTAGTGTACCCCTGTGCTTAGCGGACCCAACTGAGTAGGTACTTCTCGCATAAAGACGGAAACAGAGCCAGTTTCCGAAACGTCGTGGTTTCTTCTTTTAAATAAGGACGATGGGAAAAGTCCAGGTAGTGAATAATTTTAAGTGTAATCCACCATCGTCAGAACCCTTTAGAATTGAATCTTACGGACTTTCGATCACGAAACCTGTGAGAAAGAGATAACTTTGAGAACCCAGGCGAGTATATAATATTAATACGAATCTTAACACGTTGGAAGAGACAAATTGGGTTCATCTGACTTATGATAGGGTCCGATTAAGTCTCTTATGAACACTGTTTTAAGCTTTCGGCTTGAAATTTGTTTACAAAATGAATAATAAAAACACAATAAACCCTTTTCCAGCGCTGGGGTTAGTTTGTGTATTATCGACATTGATAATTAGACATGTACATATTTTGGACACAAGCGCGCATATGCGGGTGGGGGGGTTCGGGTCGGGAGAGACACTTACATGAGGATGGATCAACTTCTGATTTTATTTCTGTACCGCGGTACGTGATTGTTATTGGGCTGCGTTTTAGGTGGTAGTTAAATTGTGCAGAAACATAAAAAACCATTCACAAACGGAAAAGTAAACAACATTAAACTTTTATAGTTTGCTGTAAATTACGTATGTATGAATGAGGAAGATTAAAATTATACGTGTGTTGAGTCTACAATATCAGAGGACGTTTCGCAAACTGAGGGTGTATTCAATTTTCCTTTAGTAAAATATTGCTCAATTTATTTTTGTGTGCTTACGCAGTGTGTTTAACAAGGGTTTACTGTATTTGCAACAAAAAAGGACTTATAATTAAATAGTAGCACTGGTAAAACATATATTTCTTACCCACCTAAGGCTAGCGTTAATATAACAGCTGTCATTGCTCTAATCTTCAAGCGTAAGTTGGTCGGGTATCCGTAGCGAATTTGGTTGTGTTCTGTTTGTTGCCACAGCATTGCCACTTCTGGCCACTTTGTAGCAAGCTTCAGAAATAATACACAGCATGTAAGTCCAGTGACGTAGAACATTATCGCTCCTGTGGAAATTGTATCAAATATACTTTAAAAATTAGTGCGAATAACTTGACGTTGCAGAAGTAAACTGTTTAAATCTGTTTTTACTACAACACTTTAATATTAATCTCCAATTTACACGTAGTCTCCTTAGAGAAATTTTCTTTCAGACTTGATGAATATAATTTCTACGCCTTCCCAATCTCACCCATTCAGGCTACAAATTCCTTCCCTTTTATCTTCATTGATATGAGGGTCACAATAATATACCTATTGGAGAAGATAAATTATGAATATCTTCGTTGCGTAATTTTCTTCATAATATTTTTAAGTTCTTAGCATTTAGGTCAAAATATTCTTTGCATCCCTTATTCTAAAATGCCCTTAATTTGTGTTATTACAATGTACGAGATGTAAAGCTACCCATTTCTTGTCATCGAATATGTGAAAGTCTGCTAGTGATCGTTTACTGAGTGAATCGGTGTGGATAATTGGAAGCTCGTTGGTACAATTGATCTAGTGTTCTTAAGTTTCAATTTTTATCTTTCGAATTTAACATAAACACGACGACAAATACATATTTAATTGATCTGGCTGCTGGGGATTCTTATATTCATGCGCAAATATATTACCATGGTTCGGTTTAATTTGTATTTTTATTAAAATGTATTCTTTTGTAATTTGTGGTAAGGGAGCCATTGAGTATTCTGCTAGTCACTCCTCGATCCCTTGGTGGGCATTTATCCTGAACGTAGGAACTCTAGTAAATCCATCAACATGGCTGGCGACGGAGACATATAACCCTAAAGGAAAGTATTATGGGCCCTGACTCATTTTTGTCTAGTCCCACTCATACGTTGCAAGTTTACGTTTTAATTAATAATACAGCCAATTAACGTAAATGCGTTTTCTTTGCTGTCCTGCGTAGGTAGAGGCCTAGCGAAAAGCTGATTACCTACCCGTCCAAGGCTTCCTTCCAAATGTCTAACGGATTCACAATTTTAGAAGCATATTCGAATGGGAACTGGCCAATAGAACTAATCGTTAACAGCTGAAGAATAATTAAGAACCTGCGAAATATTACACTCGAGTAACAATTCTTTATAATTATATTAATATTTACAATATTTGAAATCACTTACCTGAAGTCGTAAATGTGAAACCTACGATGAGAAACCATGTAAAGGAGAATCCAAGAGAGACAACCAAAGCCAGAATCACGACAATGGTGTAGAACACTCGAATACTTCGCCATGTGAATCTGCGGGAAAAATTGGTTAAGACACGCGCATATTAAATAACTGAGTGCAGAAATTTGTATTAGAGTTTCTTTTGTATTCTGTAAGGTATTTTTGGTTTATTGACTTAATCCTTACTACCAACTTATGTGTCTAATATGGCAGAGTGTGGAGAATTAATAACATAAGAAAACAGACTCCTTTCTGGTCCAGGGAAGACTATAATATGTAGCAGTGCCAATACATCAGATTCGAATAAAATCTACGGATACTCACAGAAAACAAACTCATTGTTTCTCTACCCATGTGCCTTCAAAATCTACCTAGCTCTCTTGCTACCAGAGTCGCCAGTGTCAGAAATTTGTTAAATTTCTTTTTGCATCGGCTATTATACTAGGCGTAGAAGTGGATAATTGTTAATGTTAGTAGTATCAGTAAGTGAATAATACGAACGAGAGGTCTTCAGCCCGACGTCCTGTAATTCCTCTGACAGGACACAACGCGAACGCCTGGGCGACCATGAACACGCAACACAAGGAACTGAGCATTGAGTTGACATCGTCGTCGCAGTAGACAAGGTTCCTGGTGCTGAGGGCATTCGTCTTGAAGTCGCTTTGCACGTGTCTCAGAGTCAGCCTACGAGTCACTTCCACAGGAGCCACACTTTCGCTTCGCGACAAAGTCAATAGTTGATTATTCTGGAAAATGTGACTGTGGCCTGCGAAAAGATAAATAACTGTGCACTTAGAATTATTTATGCTGAAAATGATCCTGTTGACAAAAACTTCAGTTCACAACTAGCATCGATCAGGATGCCATTATGAAGACAGCGATCACTTATGAAACTTCGGTCAATTTCTACGAGACTTTACATCCAAGGAGACATCTTCACATTTACCACCATGAGAACCTGATATATCACTTATAATAGGTTCGTTTTCAAAATTAGGACAGGAATGTTTTGTTATATACATTTTAAGGGAACGTAAATTTCATGTTTCTAAATTTTGATATTGCTAACGATGTGAATGGTTTACCAGTTTCACGTTTAATGAAAAATGAACTGGAAATGATAAGTGATGAAGGCACTGTGACAAACGTTAAGGCACTGTCCCGAAATTTGCAAGGAAAACCACGTGAATCTTTAGTCAGGACAGCCGGTTTCAGTGCCGAGATTTGAATTCGGGACCTGACGTATGCAGCGCAGGATTGCTGGCTATTCCATTATTCTTCCCACTTTTCTTTAAAGAAATAAGCAAATTCTATAATTTTATCTTGTCCTTGTCACGTTTACAAAATAATTATTGTAGGCATATCATGTGGACGGAGATGATGTACTGTCGTTTTTATTCAGAGATCGACAATTTATCCATATGTTATACAAAACTTACGTTCTTTGACCATGTCTTGAATTTCTAAAATGTATGTTTTATAGAATTAGAACAGTATTTATATCAGTTCACAATATTGGCGTGGTATATCACAAATAAGTACGTCACATACTTATGCGTTTTCAAGAAAAATATGCATCCAGTAACATGAATTTAATAAACAAAATAACAATAAACACTGTGTCAAGTGATTATTAAATTCCTCCTTTCTTTATGAAGTTTTACAATCAGAAGGAAGAGAGAAGAATCTTGTACTACTTCCGTATTGTGCGTCTTCGTCGCCCAATATGAAGTCAGTGCCCACGTGAGAGAATACAGAAGCTTAGACGTAGCATTGCGTACGGTGTTCGATGATGAAAACAAATGACTGCGTCAATGCGTATGAAACTTGGTCAGAATGGCAACACAACTTGACACGTGCCCATCAATGCGGTGCTTAAGAACAAAGGAACGACGTAATTGAATGTTTGGTCTCACTATCAAAACACATTAGGAGTGACAGTAATAAGCATATAAGCACTGTAAATAGAACAGTTATTAAAAATAACAACGAATCGAAGAGGTCTGACATTACGCAGGCCAGCCTATGTTATGTGGCGTGATGTAGATGCAACTTTGCAACTGTGTTACAAACTTTTGACACTTTCCTGGAAAGAAAATAATTATATTTAATTGCATACTTTTTGTTTCTCATGCAAAATGTCCGTCAGTAATTCAGACCACATAGCATGTTGGTTGTGCATAATGAATTTTAAATAATATAAAATGAAGTGGTTGTGGCCGAGTTAAACATTATATAGGAAGGAAAGAAGAAACCCACAAAACATGAAAATAATCCTTCAGCACTTTCGATACGTCACATATACGCATAAATACCGATACATAAACACGTACGTCTACAGAGGAATTGAAACTGATCGTAATGCAAGAGGCTGTGAACTGAATGACGTTATCATTGTAATAGAAGTTCGGTCCTGTAAAACGAGGGAAATCTCCTGGCCAGCTGAGTGACTATCAGCCTCTAAAGGGCTTAATTCATGAGGTTAACCAATGGCTATCAAAGCTTTGTTTTCCATTTGGTAAGACCGATGGTAATTAAGGATGTATTATTAAATGTGGGGTAGTTAACAGTATTGGGCCTAATAAAAATAATTTTATGTAAAAGAATATAGTAATAGAAATGAAAATAAGCGTGTTTTCTCCTGTTAATTCCCAGACGTATGCTCTGAAAATAACGACGACAAACAGGAAACATTCAGCTGTAATGACGTTTTCCGTTCTATTGCATTCCGAAACTTTCACAGGTTTTCTCGAACCCTCCCACAGGAAGCGTTCATTGGTTCAATGTCTGTTGGATGAATGACTGAGGTGACATGTTGTTTACTACAGGCATCAGACAATTTGTCTTCCCGCTGGACACAAGCGAAAACAAGAAGAATGCTTGTTCGCTTTCTAGAGCTAAATTATTCAGAACCTACGGATGCAGACTGTACACATCTACTTGAGTCCACAACATGTCACCTATTTTTTAGGCAGTTGCAAAAATAACACGACGCACTTCATACATAAACACGTTTTTAAACATGATGTGGAATTATATCAAATAATATATAAACAAGTAGAATATAAGAGAAAATAACTTGTCAGCATGGTCCTTTGAAACGAAGCCATGCGTTTCACGTTACAAATACTGCCACTGTCAAAGATGGCTGTCTCCTGGATTGTAGCGCCATGTAGTCTGGTAGACGTCGGTAAATTCCTTCTACCAGATTACACGGCTCTACAACCCAGAAGACAGCCATTTTCGAGCTCATTGCCGTGAGAAACTCAAATCCTGCTCTCGCTTTCGTATTACGAAATTAATAACTGAGCATGCGTACTATGTAATTAACCCCATGCCACAAATCAGTCCTTATTTACTTTAATTTAATTAAATTACGCTTTCAGTAACTTTATTTAGCGACAAGAGTCCTCAAAGTGGTAATACATGTACCGCTGTTGTGAAATACGTTTCTTATCATGATTGTGTAATCTAGGTATCTCAATATTATTGTGCATAAAGGGCTATGTATCTTAATTTACTGTGCAATATCGAGCGGCTGTCACAAGATCAACATATTTGTCAGCCATATTGTGCAAAATTTTGTGTTTCATTTTCGCTATTTTCGCACAGAAAATTAAATGTCTTCTTTACGACTTTTCTCTTGTGGATACTGCTACTGATATTTTTGAGGCAACTTTTTTGTAAGCATGTTTTCATTTTTCCTTTCTCCGATATATCGCTTTGTGTATGAACACAACCAGTCGTAGATCTCTCGTCTTCTTCCACTGTAGATGCGCGTTTACTGGGCATGCTATGTTGTGTGAGCTAGTAGCCATTTTCACTGATTACCCTTTCAGGCCTAAGCCAATAGAATTCTTCAATATGTTAAACAAACCTTCCATGTAGCCCAAAAGATCAATATTACTGTGCAGTAATTCATATTACACAATACTGTTTATGCTTAGTGCATAATTAAGACTGAAATGTCCGCCTCATAAGAAACACAGTTTTATTATCTTGTTCACAAGATCAACCAGTGGACCATGTCCTCATCCAACTGAATAGAATCCACATCCCCCACACCCCAGACCATCAGACAGACACACCCTTACAGTGGTATACCAGACAATTAATTACCTTACCTTAACTGTCTTATGCAAGTTGATTTTATAACTTCGCCCAAAGTCTTGCTGGTGCTGCCATCTGGTCACATTGCTCTAAAATTAAACATCACTTGTGTGTTGCCGAGGATACTCCTGCCATCTGTGGACGAGATTGTAACGTCGCGAGCTGTCGACATTAACCAGCGTATTGTGAGCTTTTGGACAAAGCCACGAGCTTGAGCGGAACATTTAATTAGGGCAGCGTTTCTCAACCTTTTTGCTCTTGCGGAACCCTTGAAATAATATTCATGTCTCAGGGAACCCCTACATAAAAATTATTATATATCATTATTGATATCTTTATTTCTTTTTTATAAAATTAAAGTTCATAAGGAAAACTTAATATATTTTTTTTGATAGCTGGTTTACGCAAAAAATTACTTACGTTTTTCTCAAGTTTATTGACAATACAAAAAACTGAAATCGAACTGCCTGTTCAAGAGACCTCATACGGAGGTTTTCATTCACACAAAAATAAACATAAATAACCAATATCATATATAACACATATAAATAGAACGAAAACAGATAATAACTACTACAATAACTAAATCGTTTATTGACAATGTTGAAAAGGCATAAGATAAGTCAAAGTAAAATGTCATATGAACAAATATATGTGTCAAGGAAATGTTATTTTTGAAGCCAATTTAAATAACAAAATTTACTTGAGTTACTCGATGATACGTGAATCCACCACGTAGAGCTCCTGTACACTGACCACTAAAGGCGGTTTCACGCTGGCGGCGTATAGACGTCGCTAAATATATTTCTTATGATTATTATATTTCTAAATGACATATCAGGTTGAAGACTTTATTATAATACACAAGAATTTTCCGAGAATATATCGTACGTGTATAGTAAAATTACGAATATAAAATTAAACATAAAAATGACTCAAAAATACATTTACATATGATAAGCCTATTCATCACTATTTCTCGCGGAACTCCCGGTGATTGCTCGCGGAACCCTTAGGTTCCGGGGAACCCCGGTTGAGAAACGCTGAATTAGGGTGAAGAGGGTTAATTGTTACACGGACAGGTTGTTATATTTTACTTTAAAAATCACTCACTTGCAGCAGCTTCTTACGAGTCTCGTATCTATTGCGTCTCGTCTGTTCGCAGTTTTGTCCAAGGTATGGTACTTGTAGTTTGTGTATTACGTGAGCTAGGTTGATCTAAGTGTTTTTACCAGTGCTGAATTCTTAAATATTTGCCGATATTTTAGGTTTCACGGCTGAGTGTATGAAGATGATTGTGTGCTTCGATGTTTCGTCGTAGAAGTTTGCTTATATTTCAGAGATACTTACTGTTTCCATCACTGTAACGATGATTGAACTTGTGCCACAGAGACTGCTTATATGGACTCTATATTACAGCCATGAAACTAGTATGTAAATATATTTTCGTCTAAATAGATGCAAATTTATGAGAGTTTTATTAGAAAATTTGTTACATTTCACTGCGTGGCGACTATATATCTACCAATATAAGCAACGAAGATTCTTTGGTAGGGCTATTTTTCAAAAGAATTACTGGAATAGCCTACTAGTAAAACGTACAAGGGAAATAGGAGCTAACTTACGTATCTCAATATGACTTCAGATCAAAATTTTCTTTCTAATACGTTGATTACAGCAACTTTGCGGAATCAAAGGACCCAAGACAAGTATGTAAACAATGCATTGCTAATCTGTTATAGAGAGAGCGGTCTGGCCTCATTAAGTACAGTCATACTGACAAAAGTTTACTGCAGTATGGTCCATTAACGTCTAAAATCCACTACACAAACTTTTACTCCCAAAAGAATTTCAATGATCGAAAAGAAAAATTACAACACTGAATATTGAACGAGGCTTTGAAATGAATTACAATAGTTGTATTGTACAAGATAGGAGATGTTCAGTCGCTTATCAGTTTGCTTTACAACTTTATTAGAGTAATAAAATCATTAATCATAAATTGTATTTTCGTTTCAGAACTGAAGTAGTTTGAACTCCCTAGTAAACCATTAAATTATGATAATATTATAGTTTGTGAGCTGAATTTTAATTTCCAGAAATCGTGATGTGAGGAACCTGTTCACTCCAGTTAGTGTCCTGCAACACCTGTGCTGCTTTCTATCGAAAAAGAATATACCCGGCACGCCCCTTAAGGCCTGTGACACTATGCGTCATTAACAGTTACCGAGAAAGGCACTGTGTGCATTGAACCTAATAATCGGTAACAAAGGAATTATAATTAGCTCAGAACTCTAGCCATTATAATTAGTGTCATGCCTGGAAGTCGATATATTGCGTACACAGTTCTCGCTGTATACGAAGCGATCAACCTCACGTGTTGCTTATGAAAGATATTCAATTTCATACGGCATTTACGTGTTTCGAATGTTCTGTTGCAACGTAAAATGGAGTCGAATGCAAAGGGAATCGGACAAGTAACTGCTTTCACTTTTCAGTTGCATAACACACCTTAACACTTTTAATCTAATGATCACAAAATGCGTGTTTCACGTTTATTTTACCGTACAACAAATCAAAATTATATTTACGAATTAGTGAAGAGGACGCTAGTTTCGTGTTGTCATTCGTTTCAGAACCTTTCATCTCCCATTTCCCGTCTAAATTGTCAATAAATTAAACACACAGAACGACATTAAGTTGTGTCCTCAGGGAAAAGTTAATGGTATATGTACAGATGTGTTGTGTCGTGTGGGTAAGGAGTCTGTGCAAGGAACGCGTAGTGTAGGAAATAC